TCTCTCTGTTTTTCTTTTCTTTCTCTAAATTGTATGTTTGATACAAAAACTGAAGTTCTCTCCTGAACCTGAAATTAGGTCCCCTCTTCCTGGTCACTGATTCCTACATCCACTCACTTAATTAACATTTGCCAAAGGCTGAATCTTCAGGTCAGACTTCACAAACAACGGAACAACATGGCAAAGTCCCCTGGCCTCCAGATGTCTGGATCCAGCCTCTTCTGGCCCTCTTGTCTCTTCTTGGACTGATTCAGGCCAGTCTTGACATCTGGGGGAAGAGACCTTCATCCCTCCATCCTTCCGGCAAGATCAGACAGCAGGGGAGCCTGCAAGAGGAAAGGGTAGTGTTGAGTGTGTCAGAAAACCAGGCCTCAATGCCTTATTCTAATCCTGCCCCACACAGGCCGGCAGGGCACCAGCTAAAGCAGACCTTCCAGAATGTCTGCCTCAGACAATGAGGCTCTTTCAACCTCAGAAACCAGCAGCTACCAATTGTAGTGCTTTTCAAACAAATTTAAATAGTGCTTCAGAGCAATTGCCCTGGAGGATATGGGTGTGCAGTTTGTACAGTGGCTCACACACACAGAGCCAGGGTGTGCCCTGTGTTAGAAGAAGGTCTCTGGAAAGCAGATTGGCCAGTTGCACAGCTACCCTTGCATGCACACGTAGATGATGGCAGATCTCAGGAGCTCCCAGCACTTTATAAACAGGCAGGCAGGTAGGCAGTGAGTCAACACCAAATTTGAATTCCCTTTATACTTGGGCCAATTTTCTCCATGGTGCTGTATGTTAAAAGAATGATAATTCTCTCTTTGCGACACAGGCTAAGCAGTTAAAATAGCTCCTGTGGGGAACCTGGGGAATCTTGCACTCATGATAAAATCAGAATCATCATCACAAGAATAGATTTCTACGTTAAAACCACATTTCCATCACTTTTCCCTCACAATAACCCATTAGAGGTAGAAGAAATAGGTTCCCAGACCACTGACAGAAAAGCAAATGAAGATTCAGGAACATGCATGCCATAGGAAGGCAGTATGCTTTTCAGAATAGAGGCTGGAAGAGTCCTGCAGACACCATGGCCAGAGCATTCTTACTCCTAAAGATCTTTCTTCACTGGTTAGAGTTTGACCTTGAAGACCTAAAAGCAGCAATGCCTAGCGTCTGAGCTTGCTTTAGTACACGATTTCAAATAATGACTTTGATTTTAACCCAAAGGAGCAATGCACTGGTTTGAGTGCGTGCTATGAGACTGGGAGTAAGTATGACCTTCAGGGTTGGTTCATGACACTGCAGAGCTGGAAACCAGTCCCTTAGCAGACAGGGAACCTGGAAAAGAGAGAGCAAAAGTGATTCCACTGAGGTGCCGAAAACTAAGCCTTGTTAATGGGAGGGAAAAAAACCAATCTGCCTCTAATGTCTGTGGTTCCTACTGAATAATTTTTCTCTGCTTCATTCACTGAGACATGTTTGCCCCATTTTCCTGTCACTGGACCTGTCTGTCTTGCTGCTTGCTTTAGGAAAACCAGATTGTCGTAAAAGCTCTGTAGCTGAGACCTGGTACTGCTTGGTCCATAGTTGGTGGCTCAGAGGTACACTCTGGTGAGGCGTTGGAGGAAGAGGGTCGGCCTACAATGCTGGTGGCCGCTGTGGACAGCGGAGATCTGATCACTGTGTACGCATGGAAGGAAATAAAATCTGTGTCCAAAGGACACCTGTACTCCTGTGCTCATTGCAGCAACACTGCCAAAAGACCAGAAATGGAGCCAATCCAGGTGTGGACAAAGACAATCTATATAAATACACAGCGACCGTGTGATTCAGCCATTGAAAGAACTGATGGTGTTATATGTGCTGTTTGAGGCTGCACAGACGAGCCAAAGGACACCTTGCTAGTCAAACACACACGACAAAGAAAGGGAAACACTGCAAGTTCTCACTGAGAAACAGAAGCCAAAAGAGCGGATCTCACAGAGATCAAGAGTTGAATGGTGGAAAGGGAGGGTGAGGTGAGGATGGTGCCAGAATGCAGTTGGAATGGAAGAATAGTTTCTAATGTTCTGTCGCACAGTAGGAAAAAACACAGTTGCCAACAATTAATTGTATATTTTAACCCAGCCAGCAGAAAGAATATTGAAGGCGCTCAAGACAAAAGAAGAAGTACAGAGAATGAACGTTGTCAGTTACCCAGCCTGAGCATCACACATTTACACATGTATTAAAATAACCTTCTACTTCCCATAAATATGTGTGATTACCGAGTCAGTTAAAATGAGGTTTAAATGAATAGTGCCAACACATAACACATACAGAGAACTTGAAGGTAGTATCTTAAGCACTGTAAATAAGGTAACGTATTTGTTTGTGTTGAGAGAAAATCTTTAGAGTGTTAGTGTTTCTAGCTTCACCCATATTTTTAAAATGAGACACAGGAGGATTAAGTCACTTTTGCAAGTTTATGGCAGCAGAAATGCCAGTTCTTGATTCTGAATCCCCCATCTAGCTCTCTGCTAAGATACTGAATACACAGCGATGGGGGATGTGTTTCCTTTAAACTGTTTTCCATATAGAGAAAAGAACATTCTATGTATCCTTCATCTCGAGGTCTTCCAGCACTGCAATCAGGAGATAAACTCCCAGAAAACCTTCAATCTAGTACGTAAAGTAGGAGCAAGAAGATCCTGGGTGGCAGACCTGCCGGGGTCTGGCTGGTCCCCAGCTGACAGTTGTGCTATCAACAGTCGGAGAGTCACTCTCGTCTGGCCCAGGAATATAGCCTAGCTTCTCCTGCGTAAATGACAGAGAAGTGAGCCCTCCTCAGATGGCCTGGTTTGTGATGAAGCCGTAAGACTGAGTTGTTTATAAAAATGGGGAGCAGGGCCAGAGACACAGCTGCCAATGACTGAGTGATGCTTCCTTTACCTAGCTTTTCTGAAAGCTCCTCATGGGGTTAAAAAGCTCAGAATTTTATCCTTTAAAGAAACTCTGGGTGAAACACATCTTTTCATGATCCTTGTAATCCTGAGGATTGCATCTGAGATGAGGCATGGACTTAATTTTCCCCAAGAAGGAGTTGAAATATTGTGAGGAAGCCAGAAGGAATCGGCATTCTGAGTCTGAGACCGATCCTCTGTGTTTCAGGAAGATCTGCACACAGCCAACTCACCGCCTGTGCGCCTGTGCCCACTCTGAAAAGGAGTGCTGAAGGGGCACACTGGATCAAGGGCTTTTTCTAAGAAAACCCTGTTATCAGTGCTTGTGAGTCTTCCATATACCCTGCCCATCAACAGGAACAAAGACCTGAGGGAAGTGAAGGTCTCTGCCTATCCCTGCCCCACCGCACACCCCACACCCTTCCCACCAGTGGATGGGATCAGATGGGTGTAATGTGACACAAGGACCTCTCAAACTCACCAGAAGAGCCAGACCCTTCCCCTAAACAGCCCCTTCCCTGGGTGAACCCCTTACCTTCCCTCAGCAATCTCTGTAGGGCCATTATCAAACCTCTTAGCTAGTGAAAGCCTGGAGAGGTCCCAATCTGATACCTGAGGGTAGCAAATGAATGTGAAAATTATGAAATCACAATTCAGAAATCATCAAAAGTACAGAGAGTTCTTGTACATACTATTGCACTTACGTTGAATGACCTTTCTGCTTAATTATTCTTTGTGAAGGTGGCAAAATAAGCCAGATGAAGTAATATAGCTAACAAATTATTGAGCTGGGAGATATAGACCATGGACTTGTCACACTTTATCTTTCCTTTGTTAGTTCCCTTCAAAAAACAAAAACTTTGCTAAGCTGTATAAATAGCATATATTAATTTATAGAAGACATGAGAAATGTACAAAACATTTTTTAAAAGATATAATTTTAAATAATATAATCCAGTAAGAACAAATGCCAACAATTTGGCACTAAACAAATATCACTGAACAAATATAATTTATTGACTAATTCTTCCTTTGTTATACTGAAATCATGAGTTTATGTCATCAAAAATTCTAGAACTTATTTTTATTGTCTATATCATACTCGACCTATTTATAATTAATGTAATGCTGCCTTCTTATCACTGAACATTTAAGTCACATCTGATTTTTAACATTTATAAGTGGTACAGGAATGCATCCATTTTGTATCAATCTGTGGTTCAATTATTAAAAATTTATTTCAGATACATTCTGCAAGAAATGTGCTTTTATTATTATTCAATGTTACATTTTTAAAAAAAAAATTTTAAATTAAGACCTTTGCTCGCCATCTCCACCACCATGCTGCAACCTCTTCTGCCTCATCTTTAGACCACCATATCCATTACTGTCAATCAACTCCTGCACCCCAGGTCTGGGAGAGGATGGGAAGACCTTGGCATCAGGGTGCCAGCAAAAGCTTTCTTCAGTGCCAGCTGACTCGAGGGCAGTTACTTGAGGTTTCCACCCTGTTTTCATACCTGGAAAATGGGGCACTAACAGTACCTCCCTCAAAAGATTGATGGGATGATTAAAGAGATAAGCATGTGGCATGAGAGCCCTCATATGTTGAGTAAATGTCAGCTACTCTCACCTTCAGGTGTCCTGATGGATTTAGAAGGACAAACAAATGAAAAGAAAGTCTGAGTGCTTTATGTTGATTATTTTTTATTTTGGTTTCATTTTTGCTTATTTTTTTTTTCTTCCTTGGTTTCTGGCTTTTTTGTAAAACAAATCTTTATTTCTAAACAAAGTTTGAAAGTATTTAAAATATCTTAGTGAGGACAGCTGCCAACATGACATTTGCCAATCCAGCAAGCATACCTTTCACCATGGAGGTTTTGAAAGTTTTTGCTCATCCATGGAATTGACAAATCTGAAGGTTTCCACTCCCAGCCATATCCCAGGGCAAGCAAACCTGAGCCACCTGCACAGGGCGGGTCCCTCCTACCTTGGGGCAGGCCCTGACACCCAGCCCCAGCATGATTGGCCCCAGCTCCTTACTCGGGGACATTTAACCATGAAGGAGGATGCTGCTCAGAGGCAGAGAGGGAAGAAGGGAAGGGACAGACGTGGTCTAGCCTCTCCGAGGGTGGCACAGACCCATGAAGGACAAGGGTAGCAGGTTCCAGGAGGGGTAGCTGGGACTCAGAAGTTTCCCACTGCATGTGTCCTGCTGTGGTGGAAAGCAAGGGAACTGAGGCCTCCTTTTCAGGGTCTAGTCAGAAGATTAGACAGCTCAGAAACCAACACAGCTCACCCCAACGACCCAGTGACCATGACGCTTGAGGAGAAGCCTGGGGTAAATGGGTGTGTTGGAGGAAGGAGGGAGTCCTGCCCCAGTGAGATGTCCCAGGCCAACGGAAAGCCGAGAGCAAATGGGAATGCCAAGGGCTCCCCAAAGCAGGAGGCGAATGGCAAAAGCAATGCACCCAGGGGATGTCTCAACACCTACACCTGGCAGGAGATCCAGAAACACAACCAGGACGGCGACCAGTGGCTGGTGATCAGCCGCAAGGTCTATGATGTCACCGAGTGGGCCCACAGGCATCCAGGAGGGCCTCGAGTTCTCAACCACTACGCTGGGGAAGATGCCACGGTAAGGATCCTCTCCCCCCCTCCCACACCTACTCTCTCTCTTCTCTGGTGCAGGGTGACCGAGATCTTGGCTATCTTCCCAAAAGCTCTTAAGTACATTTTCAGGTTCCACGATCACTCATCTCCTCCCAAACCAAGTTTTCAGGATTCCTATCTAGCAAGACTCGGGAAGCAACTGAGGCTTCCAGATCTAGCTCTGACTTGCACCCAGTTTTGGATGCACCCACATGCTGACTGTGACCCTGTTTTTGTATCTTCTGGGATTTGTTTTGGTTTGGCGTGCAGTGGGGTCTCTATCTGATAAGAGGAAAGTTGACGGCAGTTGAATAAAATCCAGAGGGGAAAACTCTGCAACCCAAGCAAAAAAATTCCAAGACTTTTATCATCAGAGTGTCTCAGAGAAAGAAAGCAGTTCACCAGGGGCCATCCACGTGTTGTTAAAGATGATGGAAAGTGACAATGACCATGACTTTTCCGTTTGGCCGAGAGCTTCTGATCTCTCCTTCATGACAGTCATGATGTAGCCACTTTTAGGGAGGCGTTTAAATGCACCAACTCATTTAACTCTTCCCACGAAGAAGTAAAAGTTACTCCTGCAACACAGATGGGAATGCTGATTACAGAGATGATAGATAATGTGTCACCTAGCTGGCTATCGCTAGTGCCAAACTTGAGAATCAGGTTGGTTTTGTCACAAACCCCTATACCTACAGATTCCTCAAAAACACAGTTTCCATTTACTATTAATAAGGTGGACTTTCACACACTTAAGTGCATTTTAGAGCCCTTTTAAAATATTCCATCAGGGTATTCTAAATATTCTAAAGTATTCGTTGTCTCCTACCTGGGAATTTTGTTTTCCATATTCTAGGGATGAAAATACAGAAGGTTAGGGGATTAAATGACTAACTCAAAGGCAGGAAACTGCTATACCGCACCCCAGAAATTTAAGCCTGGGCTTTAAAAAATATTTCTTGCATTTGTTGATTTTATAAATTGACATAGAGCTCTAGCCACTGGTTTTGAGGCGTAAGAGCAGAGAGGTCCTTTTGCTAAACACCAGTCTGCAAATGGTACGTGCTAGTAATTAAAGAATTCACAGATAATAGACAAGTTTTTAAAATACAGATTTTTTTGACCCCATCACCATCTTCTCCCCTGATTCTCAGTTTTTCCCCAATTTGTTATGCTTCTCCTCTGCCTCAGATCTGTTTTCATGCCATCTTCTGGTCTTGATTCTGCGCTCCAATGAAGTCTTTCTGAAAATGTCTTGTCACACTCTCACTCCTTCTGTCAAATCTGAGTTAAAAATAGCAAAGCCAAACATTTCCTTAGGAAAATGAGCCTGAGCCAGAAGCCAAGGGAGAGAGCATCGCGTGTGTCAGGAAGATACACACTGTGCAGGAGCCCAGGCTCCACAGGGAAGAAAGAGCAAGGTGTGGAATATTTCTGTAGGAAACACAGGAAAGTAAGTGACAAATACAAAATGGAGAAAAGACTACAGACTCCCATTCAGTCTTTCTGCTAATTCCCACAACTCAGACAATACATGGACAAGGGTTCTCTAAGTCAAAGAGTGCATTGGAAGGGATGTGGGCCTTATGCCATGATGAAGATAACTGACAGCCTCACTCCCTTTGAAGCAGCCTAGATGGTAAATATTTAAATTTCCAATAACTTTTATTCCCAAGAAGTCAAGGAAAGACTATGTATATGTGTCCAGCTGTAGCCAAGGAGGAAGAATTGGTTAATACCAATGAAACTGTTATAGGCAGCAGTTGCAAGGAGAACAATTACATAAAGAACACAAAATTTGTATTATTTTATGATGGTCACCAAGAGTAAATTACAAGACAGTGCAGGAAATCTGTGTATAACTCTAAAGACCTAGAAAATCCAGCCAAGGTCCTGGATCCCACAGTAATGTTCTGCATGATTCTAGCTGAAGACCTAGAGCCCACGACAATGCTCCCATGAATCCAGCTGGAGGCCTGGACCCCAGGACAATGACTCATGCAGGTCTGTTTCATGCATCTGCACTGGGAAGGCCCAAAGGTCCCTGGTGGAAGCTAGAAAGTCTACGCCAGTGGGGTGAAGGAGCTGTGCCCTTAGGGTTGAGGGTTCTGCAGTGGAGCCAAGAAGCAATGCTCAAAACAAGGACCAGGGCTGCCCTATAAAGTACCAGAGCCACCCTCAGTGACGATGAGGTCCAGAGCTCCTGTGACAATAAGAACAATCAAGTATGTATCAAGAAGCCAGTATGACAAGCTTTTCCTGGAGAATGAAAGGCATACATCTTCCCCTCCAGAGCCAGGAAGTGATGCTCAAAGTAAGGACCAGAGCTCCCCTAAAGTGAAGCACATCCATTCTCAGCAACAAGGTCCCAGGCTCCTCCAAAAAGAATGGCCAAATTCATACTAGGGAAACCAGCATGACAGGCTCTTCCAGGAGAACCAACCGCTTCAAATAACAACACTTAGGAGAACCCACAACGCCACGCTCTCTTCCTCTCTGTGTCTCCTTCTATGCTGGCAACTTTCCTCAGGTGGACCATCTACACTCAGCACCATGCTATTTTTAATTGCTATTTTAATTCGCTATTTTTAATTCAGCTGGTGTTAAATTGACAACCAGTATTTAATCCATAACAGAAACTATCAGAACCTTAGGATATATAGCCATTCTATCTAGGATTCGTGTATATCCAGTAGGAAAATCATAACCTTGGTAAGTCAAGTATGAAAGTAAGACTAAAAAAGTTCATTGAAAAGATTTGCTAAGAAGAGATAAGTTAACACCAGTACTTGGGAGGCTGAGGCAGGAGACTTATTGCATGTTTGAGGCTAGTCTGGGTTACAAAGTGAGCTCAAGCCCAGCCTGAACCACATAGTGAGACCCTGTCTCAAAAAAATAAGGAAAAAAAAAAAGAAAGAGATGAGTCAAGAGGAGCAAGATGAGCACCAGGAGAGTCCTGACCGCTAGCGCACTCCGGGAATAGTCGGAGAAAGAGGAGCCTGAACTTGGGCTCACTTATGTAAATTGCAACACGTTACAGGCACGTTCTCAGCCTCAGTGCCCTGGTCTGCAGAGTAGGAAGCGCACCCATGTGTGCCTGTAGATGGTAACTGGACAGAATGCCTGAACAGTCCTGGCATCACAGCAGGTGTGGGCAAAGTTCCTTAGATGGTAGCTGGCTCTGGCTCACATCACCAGAAGCACCATCACTCCCTGTTTGCTCACCATCAGCTTTCTGTCTCCATGATATGTGGTGTCATTCACTTGGGAAAAGGTCTGTGATGCAGATGCCGGAATCTCTAGGGTGGCATAAGGCAGAACATCAAGTCAGAGGACCTGAGGTCAAGTGCTTGCTCTTGGTTTCAAGAGATGTTTCCAGGTTGTGCACAGACTAGAATGTGGGGATCAAAGTACAGTCTCGGGGCCAGCACTGGGCCACGGCTGCAGTGGACCTCATACAAGGTGAATGGTGACCAAGTGGTCTCCCCGTGCGTCCTTAGTCCACTCCTTCATGCAGTCAGTTGTTCCAAAGCCTTTGTTAGGTAGGGGCCCAATGTAATGGTTAAAAGCACAGGGGCTGGGCACAGACAGTTATCATTTGTGTCTGGGCTCTACGTGTACTGGGAAGGTCCTATAGAATCTTGCTCTTGGATTCTCAGAGGAGTTTTACTCTAGAAAATGAGTGCAGCAATACCTTCACCTTAGTTCCGTTCTCAAAGTTATTGGGAATAAAATAGTGCACTCATTACAGTGTGTGGTACTGATTAAATCCTCGGGCAGTGGTAGTTCTTATTTTTCATTATTATTCCATTTTTCTGGGATACAGTTTAGTGCTCTTCAGGGAACTTACTAAGAAAAATAAATCTAAACTGTGCATACTGGTACATGCTTGTAATTCACCCCCTGGGTGACTGAACCAGAAGGATCACAAGTTCAAGCCCAGCCTGAGAAGTTTAATAACTTGGTGAAAGCCTGTCTCAAAAAATAAAAATGAAGAGAGAGAGAAAGAGCTGGGTATATAGTTCAGTGGAACGTTCCTGAGTTCAAAAATAAAATATAACAATGAAATTAAAAGGGCTGTGGTGGTAGTTTAGTGCAAAGGCCTTGAGTTCATTTCAAGGAAGGAAGGAAAAAAAAGAAGGAAGGATGGAAGAGTGGAAGGAAGGAAGGAGGGAAGGAAGGAAGGAAGGAAGGAAGGAAGGAAGGATGGAAAAAGGGAGAGGGGTGGGAGAAAAAAGAATCTATAAAACAAAAACACATATGTAATTCTTTTTGTTATGTGTTGTCATGTTACTGGATATCTGAGTTTCCTGGTTACTTAAAGCTGCATACTTATAAACTAATGTTATACTGCTAATAACTAGTCTGGCGCCAGGTCTCTTCACTGGTATGAGCTCACCCATGAAAAGTCAGAAAGCCTGCATGGTCCAACAAAAAGAATGGATTTTAAAGATTAACACACCTACTTTGCAATCGTGAAAATAAAGATGACAAGCATTTTAATTTTTTTTTTACTTTAAAGATAGTAAAATCTAACAAAACAGACAAAACCAATCAAAACAATGCAGCAAAATTGGTACAGAACTTCAAAGCAGGATACTAGAAAAACAACAGTAGCTACCATGGTACATCTTATTATCTTCACAATAGCTGTCCATTCAAACAGGTGTAGCAACATCCAACCAAAAATAAAACCAATCAAAAGAGAATATCAAATAAAGTAAAACAGTGTGAACAGTATTGGCCATCAAAGACAAGATAGAAGGAAATCCCCATATTTGCCATATACATACTGTTATCCTACCAAGAGATGCTCAGACTGCTGGCTCCAGGCCTGAAAAATCAACCAAACGTTACAACCATTTAGTTGCTTTATGAACCTTAGTTGTTATCAACTCAGCCTGTGCTCTGAAGCAGCTGGTTACTGGGGAGAGGCCACGCAACCTGATTCTCAGCCCATGGGCTGGGAGGCTCCTGGGGGCTGCTATCTGACTTCTCTCTCCCTGGAACCCATGCGGCTTGCACGGCTTACCAGAAAAGCTGGCTAGTTGATGTCTTGGTGGCTTCTCCCAGCCTCAGCATGGGACAGAGCACTTTGTGACTGCACACTGTGTCTGTGTACACAGAGCTCATCATAGGCTCCTTAAGGTAAGAGTGAGCTCCAGGTTTCCAGAGAAGTGTAAGCACGGCTGCAGGATGGATGCACAAAGGCATGTGCTCAGGAGGAAGGGGAGGTTTGCTGTCCCTCATGCCTGTGGGCTGCTCTTCACCTCTGCTCTTTACTCCTGGGGGGACACAGAGAAGCATGAGCACTTTCTCATGACTGTCCAGAGTGACAGAAGCTTAGGAAAAATGAGACAGAGAGTGTTTCAGCTGTCTGGGAAAGACCTGCACAGCAGAGACAGAGCTGGGTGCAAGTCCCAAAGAGGAGGAAACAGGGGAGGCTGAGACAGGAGACCTCAGAGGAGGCTAGAGAGGGTGTTAGATGAGACTCAAGTCATCAGCCAGCGTCCAAACAGCGCAGGCATCTAGGCCTGGCTACTTCCTTAGCTTTGCACAGTATGGTTCAGAAATACGTGCTCTGTGAATGGGGGCTAAGGTCGCATGATGAGAAGGTGAATGGAGACGGCAGGGAAAGAAGAAGCTAGGAAGGAGGAGAAAAGACCTGCGGTGCTGAGCTGAGGAGTGTGCCTTTTACCCCTGAGACATGGCAGCCTCCCATCCCCGATACAGAAGAGAGAGCACGATTTTGAGTTCCAACAGACAGCAATGGGTCATGAAGAGGACTGCTTCTTTAAAGGGAAGCTTGGGAACCCAGTGAAGAATGACATCAGGACAAGCAGGTGGCCATGAAGAAGGAAGCCCAGTTCGGGGTCCAGCGATCAACCAGGTGGTGAAATCCATGATAAGATAAGACTAGGAGGGTAAGTAGGGGAGGCCTGGAGGAAGCAGGAAGGGAGGGACTGGGGCTCAGCTAACAGATCACGGTGTTTCATCCAAGGGAAACTTCACAGTAATGAAAGATCTCAGCATAATGCCCTGCAGCACAAAGCAAGCATGTGCTATTCCTGCAGGAGAAAGGAGATCTAAATCTTAGACAATCTAAATATTAAAACAGAAGCACTGGGGCTGGAGGTTTAGCTCAGCGGGATAAGCACCTGCCTTGCAAGCAGGCAGTCGTGAGTTCGATCCCCGGTACCGATAAAAAGGAAAAAGACAAAAAAAAAAATGATATATAAAACAGAAGCACTAAATCTCTTGTAAGAGAGGACATATAGAATTCTTCAAGACATAGACAAAGACTACAAACAAACCTCCAGCTGCACGGGGATATCACAGGGAATCAACAACAGGGATCCCATCCTGTTGAAAAGCTTTTGCACAGCAGAAGAAATCATCAATAGAGTGAAAAGTCAACCCATGGAGTGGTAATAGTGTTTTTCTATCTGTTCCTCTGACAAAAGACTAATATCCAGAAAGTTGATAAATCAGACCCTCCAAACTGAAAGACCCAACCCAAACATGGCATCTAAAATGACACTTCTTGGAGAAAGAAGTAGAAATGGCCTTGCTGTGAATTTGAACTGGTCCATTCTGGGGTGCTTGTGGCCCTGAAGGCACAGGGTTTCCCCACAGAATGTCTGCCAGAAGCCCAGCCACTCTTGTCCTCCTGGCTGTCTCTGCAGTGCTCGACCTGTCTACAGCACTTAAGTTACAAAAGCGGGACCTTTCCCAGGCCCTCTGGCTTCTCATGCTTACCTCTCAGTGGGGATTCTACCATCCAGCAGTGAGGCCCATCACTTTATCTCCCACTAAATAACCACAAAAAGAGCAACATTTCCAAGGCATTGGGGAAATCAACATAATCATCACCTCTTTCCCGTGTTGATTGCTATTGTGGAAAAAATCAGCTTCTAGATGAACTCTAAGACACCTTTATGGATAAATTAAGGCACGAGCAGGATGATTTCGAAGGGAGTCCAGGGCTGATGCATGAACATGGGAGCTGCCAAAGTAGCAAAGAGCACAGAGATGCTGGAGATGGAGAAAGACAACGGCACTTATGCACGCACCTTCTGATTGAGCGCTGGGGTCACCCAGCTCCTGTCGAAAACTTTCTGGCTCTGCATGCTCCCTGCCACTTGTCCTCACTTCCCAGGCAGGCCATAGTCCAAACACTGTGACAGCCAGTCTGAGTCTTCACTAGCTCTTCAACACAGTCTGAGTCTTCACTAGCTCTCAGCCCTCTAAAAAGACAAGGTCATGACAGCATGATTTTTAAAACTCTGGCAATGAAGCGTCCTGGGGACCAGGTGCCAATCATGAACAGCTTTCCTCAGTGAGTTAGGAGGAGGCTGCACTCAGCATGGTCTTGAGGATCAGGGCAGACTTTTATGTGCAGAAAGTGGAAAAACACAGTCAAGGCAAACGGAGCTGCCCATGGAGAGGTTTGGATCCGTAAAGAGGCAGCAAATGTGTACTGAATGATGAAGTTCCCATGCAGGAGGCTGGGGGAAAAGATGTTGAGAGATCAGAGCCAGAGGTGAAGCACTTCCCATGATTTAAACCTAAGGTGGGAGACACTGTAACCATCTTCCCAGAACATACTGGTTTTAGCTTCATCTCCAAACAACCTACCATCATGCCTTTCAGAACAAGAAAACATGCCAAAGTTACAGTGGACTTCCAGTTTCCTTCATGTGACTTTAGAATCTCATAGCCCTGAGTTCAAATCCTGGCTGCACTACTGACTGTGGCATTTTGAAGCAAAACGTGTCTTCCCTCTAAGACTTGATAGCTGTACAATGAAGTGATGGAACCTTGCAGAATTCAGGCAATAGCTAGGAGTTGGCCCACAGAGAGCCTGGCACGTAGGATCTGCTCTGTAAATGCTGGCTTTTCCCTCTTCTCTTTGTTTTTACCACCCCTTTCTCCCAACAAGAATGTACTTGCTCAAGAATGTTGGTAACAGAACCTGTTTTGTGGACTTTCAAAAAGGGATTTCACAACTCGCTTTCTGGGTTCTACTAGAAAATCTTGACTATATAAGGCTCACTAAACTCCCTTATTATTATGTTCTATTAATGCAATGACGAATTTCCACACTGTTTTGGGGGACTCTATAGCTCTTCAGCATCTTTGGTCGCAGCACTGACCTGTGAATGTTCCTGGGGTGGAACAAAAGCCATGATCTTGGAAGGCTGTTATTACCAGCACGCTTGGGGGTGAAATTCCACTAGAGCACAGTGCTCTGCACCCTGTCCTTGATGCATCAGGATATTTTCTACCCTAAACTGCTCTGAAAAAGCAAGCACAGCGTGACACCTCTAGTACAGGTCATCGTGAGACACAGTGATCTCTTTTCTATTCACTGAATCATTCTTTTCCTGTTAAGGGGAACTAAGATTTAGGATCTATGTATAGAAAACATCTTTGGCACTTCTGTGGCCTTAACTTCCCACAGGTGTGGGAAGCAGTGTGCAGGAACAGAATGGTCAGTAAATCCAGAGAGTTTATAGCAGATTAAAGCTCTTTTTATACCATGGCATCTCCAAACCCTCAGGTGAAGTAAGTCCAGGGTTGCGACAAGGCTCTCTGGCTCCCTTGTTCACTAAATAAGCACCTTCCACCAAGACTCATATAGAGTTCTTGGATATATCCAAAGTTGCTCAGGATGCGACAGTGTAGATTTCACTATATTCCCTTGTATAATCCAGTGGTCACCCTGCATCAGACATTAGAAAGTAGGAAGAAAATCTCTGAATTGCTGTGTGAAAGAGAAAATAGATAGGCAGCCCTCATCATGAGAGGTATGCAGATAAATAAGAAACACAGAAAATAAGTATTTTTTGTAAATTTTATATTACAACAACTATGACGATCATCACTGTAATTAATTCATTTAATCCTCACAATAGCTCTATAAATAGACTAGTAATCCTGAGCCCCGTTTAATCTTCTCGTGACAGGAACACTGGCTTCCAGGTCTGCTTTCTGAATCTGGGCTGAGTGGTGTTACAGCTCCAGAACACTTTGGAAGCTTCCATGTACTCAGATTGCAACTGCATCTCTTCATTTTTAACCACTCCCACCCCAAGGTCATAATAACAGAAGCCCAGAATGTCTCTCTTGTAGAGACATCTTCCCAAAACCTGTGTAAATACTGAAGAGGGAAGTAACCATAACCAGATACATGAAGCCCACCACGTCTCATAGCTGTATGACACAGCTGCTTGACAGTGGCATCTTGACAGCGTGATGAGAATTCTTTAGGGACAAGCTTAGCCAAGGGTGTAGTACAAAACCCAGGCCTCTGATACTGCCCTCCCATGATTCCTCATATATTTTCTTCAGCCATTGTCACCAAAGTTATCCAGCTTCCTCTGGAAATAACTAATTCATGAGGTCTAATTCTTCTGAACTTTGGCCAAAAACTCAAAGGAAAATGTGATTTGCATAGCCAGTCTTGGTGGCTGCATACTTTAGGGGGTGTAAGCAGCTGCCAAACAAAACCATGCTGGCCACTAAACCAAAACAAATACCTCTTTCGATGCTCAGTAAGTTAAACAGTGATGTCAGTGTCTCACGTAGCCTGGTTGCATTGGTCAAGTCTAGAGAGACAGAACATTGGGAATTAGAAGCATCCACCTGCACTCAGCAAGTCCTCTGTAGGAGAGGCTGTGCTGGCTCCCCGGGTGAGTGCAGGAAGAGGTATGAAAGCCCATCTGTGCGTAATCTGTCTCCCCTGAACTTCTAACAGAGTGCTCTCATCAACAGGATGTATTCAGAGCCATGCACCCGAATCTGGACGTTGTGAAGCTGTACCTGAAGCCTCTGCTCATTGGAGAGCTCGCCCCGGGAGAGCCCAGCCAGGAGAGAAACAAAAATGTAAGTGAGGTCTCAGGCCCCAGCGTGTGGAAGCCTGGACACAAGGCACAGTGAGGGACAAGCTTATCACTTTTTATGGACACAACCACCGTCTTACTTGTGTGAGCTACAGAAGAGTACAGGACTTCGCTTCTCCTTGCAAGCAGTGTATTCCAAGACTCTCGGTAGACAGGTGGAATGGTGGGCAGCACTGAAGCCTACATGCGAACAATGTGATGCTGCACTGTGGTAGAGTCCAGTCACTTAGTATAGTTCTCATTTATCCACAGTTTTGTTTCCATAGTTTCAGTTCTGGAATAACAGCAGAGCAGTGTGCAGAGCAGGGATGCATGGACACAAGGATGATTCCTGCCCTGGGCAGGGCAAAATGAGATGGTGGGGGGAGAAATCCTTACCTTACCCAGCACGGTCCCCAATTCCCAGCTGATCCGATGATTCTTTCTGAAAATTTTCTATTTAGTATTTTTGGACCACAATTAACTGAGGGTAACTGAAACTGTGGCAAGTGAAACCCTGGGCCCAGGGACCTACGTCTCTGTAAATGAGTGGATTCTGCACCTTTGAGTGCCATTTTTAGATCTTCAGGAGTCTCTGTGAAACAAAGGCCTGGAATTTCTGGTACCAGGTCCCACAGGAAATCTACATCTCTGAACTCCCACTCCATGCCGGGCAGCATGCAAACAATTTTTTTCAGTGATTTCCAGCAATTACATGTTTGTCACCAATCCCTACGTTCCCCATAACTAAGCTTCATGAGAGCGGGGGACACGTCTGTCTTGCTTTCCTTGCAGGCCAGTATGAGATGCACAAAAGGAAACCCATGAATCTTTGCAGAGTGAAAAATGTAATTATATCCTAACTAGGATTCTTCTTAAACTTGGAGACGCTATCATCCCTGGAGAATAAATTACTCTCTGAAGCTCTGGTAAACCAGAGCTGGTTTCCAAAGAATCGCAGTTCTCTATTACCTCTCTCTGCCCCCAAGTTCTTCAGTGTTCCTGAGGACGGGTGACAATCTTCCTTTACTCTGTGACTGCATGAAATGCTGCCTTCCCCAGGACAGGGTCTCAGTCAGACCGAAAATTCCCTCGGCTTGTTGTATATAAACCTTAAAGCGCTTTTACTACATGGTGAACAATCCCATTTTTACGATTTACTTTTATAAGAACTTGTGTTTGTCTACTTCTTAGCTTCTCTGAAGCAATTTGTACAAAGTGCTAACCCACATATCACTGTGAAATAGAGCAAGGACTTTCTTCACCCTGTAGAATTGAGGAGTCGGATTCCCCGAGGCAGTGGAAGGAGCAGGACTAACCTGGAGACACAGAGCAACTCTGTCCAGGTCTAAGGCTAACATGCTTGCTTGCTCTGTAGCCCTGGGGTCGCCCATGCAGCTGTGGATGGGCACATTTCTCTGTCTAGGAACCTGAATCCCAAGAGTGGATGACCAGAAATCGTCCTGCAGCCTTTCAGCACTAATACTGCACAGTGTAGACCAGTTCCTTCACCTCTCTGTGCCTCAGTTTCTCTCCATGGAAAGAGCAACAATAGCACAAATCTGTAAGAGTTACTGAGAGGGTGATAAGAAAGAAACAAGCAATAAAATCATTTTGAGTATTTAGAACATACTAAGTGCTCAATAAAATTTATACATTATCATGAAATTATTGGTGATGGTAGTAATTTAAAGCCTACAGCTATGTCCCCGTCATTTGGGGGAAGGTGGCCATAGGCTAAAGAAAAACTGCTGCAAAGGTCAATCAATTTTTCTAAACGCATTCTGCAGGAAACTCCTACTAAAGCTGGAGCACTGTGTGAACACTGTTACTTAACACAGTGTCAGTCTCCAAGGATAAACATCTACAGCTAGTTTTCTTTCATGCCTAGAAAATTCAGGGTACTGTCCAGGGAAACTAGGGTGTGAGTGTGAAGCGGTGTGAGGAGGCGTGGGCATCAGTCTGGCATCCGTCACTGCCCCACCGATTATTCAAGCCAGTCTCCCTGCTGGACCCCAGTGATCTTTCACTCCTGTGCATTCAGTGGGTTGGAAAAAATCACCAGGCTGAGAGCAACTCCAGAGATGACTGATTAACATCACACAGCTATTTAAATCACCTCTGGCCACCAGAATTCCCAGGTCAACCAGGACTGGAGAAAGCAGCCAATTCAAACTCTTGGTGACCAGTGGCTTCTTTTGAAATTGCATTAATTGTGAAATTTGGCTCCTAGTGTTTCTTTCATAACTTTTTATTTCCAGTTTTTCTCTTTTCTTCCAGCTGTTCAACCCTCATGTTTTATTTTGTTTGGATTGTTTTGTTTTTTTCACAGCCTGATCAGTGTTAATGCCAGCTGTGTTCGTTTTTTGCAGTCCACTGAGAAGCTCTCAATGAAGCCGATCCTTAGAGCTATTCAAAGGGGACTATGTTGCTTTCTGCTCTCCTGTCTCTGACATGGTCCCCTGGACACGTTCAATAGTGAAGGGCCAGCAACGCATGGTGTACCAGTGACTATGATGACACAGATCCTTTTAGACCACGAAGCCCCCCACGCCTGCATAACCAGAGCTCAGCCTGTGTGCCAGGATCATACTGATGATCTGAAAGGCAGCTGTTGAGCTTAGGCATCTCTCAAATCATCCTTCTCCCCACAAAAGCACTGCTCCTGTGAGAGCTTTTGAGCAGTTAGAGAAGAGTTCACAACTACCTACTCATCTTTCTCAACAAAACGAAACAATCACCACATTTTTTCAAAGACTTCGTTTGTTTTCTTAGTTGTTTTTGTTTTAAATTCTGGACAGTTAAATCTGCTTGTGCTCATGAAATGATATTGATTAAATTTTATTACTGGCTTCACCATGTCCCCTGTCTCCTACCTGCCCGGCACTGTTTCCTTTGCAGCCACAGCTGGTAGAAGACTTTCAAGAGCTTCGCAGGACACTGGAGGCTATGAACATGTTTGACGGCCGCCTGCAGTTCTTCTTCCTCCACCTCGCGCAGATCTTGATTTTAGAAGTCCTGGCCTGGCTCCTCTTGTATCACTTTGGCAATGGCTGGACTGTTACCATCTTGGTTTCTTTTCTTCTCACAGTTGCTCAGGTAAACAACTACCCTAAACCAGGTTATGGCCCCAGGGAAAGGCTGGGTGATGTTTCTTCTCTCTTTAGATAGGAGTTAGCAGCAGCAGGATGCCTGGGAATAGACATGGCCAGGCCCTTATCAGCAGCCCTTATCTGAGCTCTAGGTCTTTCATCTCTGAATTAAAGATACCCGTGAATATGGAATTATTCTGAAGAAGACTACACTTACTATACCTAGCACTGTGCCTGACATGGCTGCAGGGTTTCACTAATGGCAGTTGCTTCCCTTTACCCTGGTTTATTCCTGCAATTTCATGAAGTAACACTCTGTCCTCAGCTGCATACTATCCATTTTTTTTAACCTTCCAAGATTTACTGAGGAATTAAATTGTAAGTTCTTCAAGGACAGGGAAGGCTGCATCTCAGTACAGGAGAATAGAAACACACGTGTCCCTTTGTAAATGACAGATGGTAACTGACACTTAGCAGGGCACTGGAAGGATCCTTACTGGATGCAGTAGGGGTCTCAATGCAGCTGCCTACAAGCACAAGGCTGCACGATGGATCTGAGGGAGCTTCACATGCACCCGGGGAGCCGCCCAGAAAGAGAGACCGTCACTCAGCTGAGCACCCTGTGAGGCAGAAAAGGGCAACTGTGACAGGCTGGAAAAGCATATACTGTTGTTGGAACAGAAAGGGACATTTCGTTCTCATCACAACAACTGGGGAAGGTTTTGTAGAGAATTCAAACAAATATGTTTCTACATTCCAGAGTTTTTATGTTTTTTTTTTTCTTGACAAACCAATTTGCTTTATTCTTTGGGAGGCAACTTTTATAAATTGGAAAGGGGGAAAAAAAACCATGCATTTGATGCTCAGCATGGGTTGTGCACCTTGCACTGTAAACTGCATGACAGCCCGAGGAGTCAGTGCTATTCCCCGCATCAATCAAGTAAGTAACTCAGGGTTTGGGCTGCTGAGCATTCGTCAGAATTGTGCAGTTAGAATTGCTGGAGACGCTAAAGCTGCCTGACTCCAAAGTCTGTGGATTTGCAGTTCACACTGGAAGATTTAGGCAGAGGCCAGGAGCACATTGCGGGTTGGGAGAGCCACCTGTCCAGAGGGAGGGAGACAGGAGGGATGGGACACGCCTTGGGGAGCTCTCCTTCTGGCTCAGATCCGTCGGAGAGCTAGGGAGTGTTTCCCTGACTTACTATTTCTCAGCACCTTTGTCTCTCCTAGGCTCAGTCTGGATTTTTGCAGCATGACATAGGACACCTTTCCATGTTTAAGAAGCCCAAGTGGAACCATCTGATGCAGAAGTTTGTCATGTGCCACATGAAGGTACGGGAGTTCAGGGACGGGGACACGTTAATCATCACTTACTGAGGCAGGGGTGTCCAATCAGTAAACCATGTGTACAGCACCCCACAGATAAATGCAAACGCCGTAAGGATGGGGAGTGTGTGTCCCAATATGTCAAAGGATATCACAAAGTATTCAGTGAATCAGAATTTTAAATTTTAATGAGGAAAATGTTTATTCTTATTTAAAAGCCCTTCCATTTTTCATTGCTCTGATAGACTATCTGTGAAATTCCTGGTACCCCCGGTTCCCTAAGGTACCACCTCATGTGAAAAAATGTGTCTTATTTTAAGCATGAAGAGGTGCACTATAAAATCCCAAGTGGGAACATTGGAGAGAGATGTGCTTTCTGGCTGGGAAGTCCAGTTAGCAAAATTAGGTTTGGAATGATAAGGCCAAAGAAATAAAGGAACAGATGCAGGAGAACAGATAAAAATCAGGAGACGCAACAGTCACGGGAGGCCAGAGGCATCTAAGTAAGAGGCAGCCTCAAGCCCCAGACTTCTGGAAGAAGCAGGTAACGATGGTGGCAGCTGGTCCGAACCTCTTCTCGTGAGCCCTGAGAGGCAGGCAACCATCTGTGTAGCTCCCAGAAGGGTTCCTGGCAGGTGCTAGCCCCTCATGCAGCGTGTGCTGATTGCATGTCTGGGTGGAGGAAGGAATGAGCCAGGTGAGGTACAGGGTGTCAAGAACAGCTTTGAGGCCTGGTTCCTGTGTGGTCTTAGGCAAACTGTGCTTTACTGCTGCCTGTCAGTGTTATCATCAGTGACAGTGGGAATCCAGCAAAGTGTCTACCTTTCTATGGTATTCTAAGATGCATGATTGGGCACTTAAGCAAATCCTTCCGTTCAAGGTTCACAGATGGCACTGTACTGTCTCAGAGTTCCTTCCTTCTTCCTTAATGCAGAGGGCCTGTCTATTACTAAGAACAGACACAGAGAATAACTGGTTATTTGGTTCCCAAGTCTAGACCAGCTCAGAAGTGGCTCCCTAATGAGAGGGCGAAAAGACGGCAGGAGCCTGGATAGCAGCTAGGTCAGCCAAAACCACAGGTGACAAATGACAGACAGGGAGGATGGCCTGGACCTGCCATTAGCCCAGAGCCTGCTAAGTGCCACTTTGGGAACATACCTTCAGGCTCGTGAGATTTCACAGGGAGGGCGGCACAGCATGCCTCTGTTTCAGCAGCAATGGATCTTTAAAGGGGTTAACTACTGAGGCTGCTGCCTGCAAACTGCTGAGCAGAGAGCCCACAGCTCCGCATCGAACAGTTTAGGCTCCATTCCAGCTATGACTGGGAGCACCTGAAATGTTCAAACAAACACCAAACCCCAGCTCCATCTCCGATGTTCTCATTCAGTCCCTCTCTGGTGAAATCTGGGCGTCAGCCTGTGAGAAACAAAGCTGGAGGGCAAAGCTAACCGCAGCCAGGGCTGAGTCTGCAGCTCTGAAGACACAGCTGCCTTCTGTGGGAACCCAGCCACTCACCAGCTGGGCCACTTTGAGCAGGCTCCTCCGAGTGTTTGAACTCCAGCTTCTTCAGCTGTCTGATGCAGGTTGATGAGCTGCGGCTGCTGCCTGTGAGGTTTGGTGCTAAGGGTACCTGTAAGCAACTCTACGCGCCGTGTGTCACACGGTGCCTGGAAACACTTAGCAGTTGTCAGCCACACTGAATATTGTGCACAGCCTTTCCCTCATTAAAAAGAGGGTCAAGAATCATTAGGAAAATTGTTCAACTGTGCTGGTCTTAAGGAGATGGTATCAGACCATAAATCGCAGCATCGCTGACTTGGGAGACATAATCAGTCACCTACTCTTGCTGTCGTCTTTTCCATTGAGCAGACAGAGGTGAAATTAGATTAAATGGCACAGCAGTGGCTCTAGATTCCTGTTGGAGATAGTTCTGCCCCTCAAAACGGTTGAATAATAACAAACTGGAACTTCATGTGACAAGTTCCTCCTAATCAAACCTTCCATGTGGACACACTTGCCCACCTCTCTGCCCACCCATGCTGGACAGATGAGAGGGTTCTGGGCTCTGGAGTATTCCACAGGGAAAGCAGAGGCTGTCTCCTGTGCTGAGGAGTCACAAGGAAGGAGTCATCCGCCCTACATGTCGCTGGCTGTCCATCTGGCACCAGTGTGTGGCATATTTCCAGTGAGCCCCACCTCAGCGCTTTGTTTCCCCTGAGCCTAAATCTCAACAGGACTCTTATCTCTCTAGAGTGCCCAGAAACAGTTTTGCTCTAGCTGAAATCAGTCTAAATAACTGCGTGACTTCTTAACAAAATGAGAAAGTGTGAGATGGCTCTGAAAGCAAAGCCGGAGTCCTCTGACATTTAGCAGTTGGAGTCCATGACTCAAGAGCAAAAGGAATATGGGCTTGGGCTGTGTGCAGAGGAGAAAATCACCTGTGGCAGGGAGGGAGCAGGGCAGGAGGGGCTGACAAAGACAGAAGCCACAGCATGGAGACTTTCACAGGCAGCACAACATAAAATTTCAAACCCTGACTTAGTACCAACCTTCCCCTCCCCCAGGAAAGGCACAGATACTAGTGAGTGAGCATCTTTGAGATTTTCAGTCGCTAGCTAATAAGTAAATTCTAGTCGTTGCAGTGCAGGTATGATGAAAAAGCCTGGCTGAAACAAAACATTTTGGACTTTTGAAAATCCAAAATCCTGATTGTTCCAAAATCCTCCAGGTTTTGAGAATCAATACAAATCCACAAGTGGAAAATTCCACACTGTGAGACTTTGTTTCATGTAAAAGAATTATTTAAAATACATAAAATTAACTTCCGCTGTGTGGATAGGGTGCACATGAAACATAAATCAATTCCATATTTAGACTCAGGGTTTAACTCCATGATATCTCATTTTGTTATGCAAATATTTTAAAATCCAAAGATGCTCAAAATTCAAAACTGTTGCAGTCCTTAGCCTCAACTAAGAGATACTTGAACTAAACTCAAAATAAATTCCCTGTGGCATATTTTTCAACTGCCATCCCTGTCCTCCAATTTTGAAATTTTGAAAACAATACAAATTAAGTGGTGCTATCAGGATAATGGAGCAGAGTATCTGAGATTAAGGCCTCTTTGAAACATTTGGTGGCAGAGGACAGGCAGCGGGGAGTCTGTGGCTTCCTGCCATCTCGGTAGCCTCACAGGTGAGGAACCACACACATCACACTCCTCGGGTGTGGATGGCCTGGCCCAGAGGGATAAAAGTTCAGCTTGACTTTAGTCTAAAATCTGTGCTCTTCCTTCTGCACCAAGAAGGGAGCTGACTGGCCTGAGAACAGCTGATGGTCATTGCTGCACAGAGCGTGAGTGGTCAGCCAGCATGTAAATGATGACCTTCGTTTGGCTATGAAGTATCCTCTCCCTCCTCCTTATCTTAGCCCAGCTGAAGCTGGGTCCAGTTGTTTAGAGCACACCGGTCCTCACTTTGACAATGGAGTGTTGTATCTCCAATTATCCAGATACACATTTGCTAAAAGTATAGTCACCTGGTAGAAGAGACCAAAATGTCAGTTCTTAATTTAAAAGTATACCCACTTATTACACAGTTCTTGTTTAATTCTCCACTGTTCCCATTAGATTGTATGTTCCCAAGTGTGGGAACCCCACTTCATGTCTGTCTTGACAGCACAAATGCTTAGCTCAGTATTTGACACAGGGATGTACTTCAAATGTGTAAACAAGTAAGTTAATGTACAGTGCTAAGGGAGAAGAGTCAGATGCAACGTGGTGGGAGAGGTACAGGGACAATGGGCGCCAAGGGAGGAAAGGAAATTGATGAGTCCAATTTGAGGATTGAGATATTTTGAGGCATCCAAGAGGGAGTTATTTGGAAAGTGGCTTCCCATTCAAGCATGTGACTGCGAGAGAGATTAGAACTGATGGAAGAGAGTCTACTGTAAGAATGTTCAGTCATCTTAGAGGTGAGAGGAGAATTCTGTCCTATGTGATCAGGGAGGGGTGGAGGATGGATGACTTCAATATTCATTGAAGTAGGATATCTGGGGCTATGAAAAGGCAGTGCTAACATGTCAACCTTAGAACATACTTATTCCCTCCCACCACAGATACATGGCACCCAGAGCAGCATCCTTCGGCAGAAGTAAAACACTAGCCACGTTAGTATGCTGGATCATTTTGTTTTCTACCAATCATATTTAAAAGCTACCACTATTATCCTCCACACATTCAAAGTATTATTATTTCAAGATGCATTTGGTTTAAAATTAATAACATCATGTTTTAATTTCCCTTTTCATTCTGAATTTTCAACATCTAGGATGCAGTTCACATTTACAGCCTATTCCACTAGTCACCTGCAGCTAGTGGCTACTGCCTTAGCCAGTGCAGGTCTAGGACATGCATAGATAGTTATTAAAGGGTGGCAAATATGCAATAAAGAAACAACTGTGTCTGCTTACTTTTCTGTAAATGATTAACATATGTGAGGGTAAAGCAGATCTCAGTGGACTGACATCTTACATACAGTTGTCACATCTCCCCGAGCCACCCGTGAAGATAAATGTAACAGTGCACTTCCTAGAGATGGCACTGACCTTCAAGGAAATGGGTGAGTTGCTTAAACCACACTGCAGCAATGCTACATGTAGCATATGAAGTAAGTTGATACACTCCACACCACTTCCTCCATTGAAACCTTCAGACTTTCAGTGAGAGAGACAAACAAACAAACAAGCACACACACACAAACTAATCAGAGGTGATCCAAGCTTAGCATCAGCTAAAATAGTTTATGCTCTTATTTTATATGAGAACACTGACGCTGGGACTTGCAATGATCTTAGCTAAGCTCTCCCCCACCAGGAGATCACTCCACATTCAGATTCATGATTCTTTGAAATATTCATTGAAGTAGGATACCTGGGGCTGTTTTCCCCAGAACTAATTAAAATCTTGGAGCTGAAGTGTCTTTCTATGCAAAACAGAAATAATATCATCTGATCCCCCTACCTCCAAAATGCTTTAAAATGATGATCAAATAAGAGAAGAGTGGAAAAACAGTTCTTTCCAGCCAGTTTTCATATTTTCATTATCAGAAGTTGCTTTAGTCTGAAGCTCTGTTGCTATATCCAAGGATTGTTTCTACATAAACTATGAGAACTCCTGTCCAATGAGACACTGACAGGGCCAGCAAAGGGACAGGGTCAAGAAACTCAAACATCCTGACTTTTGAGGAGGCATACAGAAAGCTCTGACAGCAATGAGTATTTTGGGCGTGAATTTGTTTAGCTAATCATCCTTTCTTTGGTTTAGGGTCTGTCTGCATACTGGTGGAATCACCGTCACTTCCAACATCATGTAAAAACAAACATCTACCCCAAAGACCCAGATATCGACGTAGGTCCACTGTTTGTGATTGGAGAATCCCAACCTGTCAAGGTACGCTTAATCACCTGACACCTGATGCAAGTTGCTGGGGGTGATGCCTGGAACGGCTTCCTTTCGTGCCTGGAAAGATAACGATGAGAGTTCTGGCTTCACACAGTGTGAGAGCACTGCCTTTTCTCTTTGTGTTCAGGATACAGACTCTGAATCATGACTCTATGACCCCTGGAGCAAGTGTAGCTCTCGTTGAGCAGCCCCAATGACAGCTGAATCCCTGCTCAATGCTTACAACCATCCCTGAAGCAACATAAGTAAATGTTAGAAAACAGAACCGGGTTACCAAAGGTGGCGTGATTCTCCCAAATCTAGCAAGGTTATGATGGATAGATGCTCACAAAGACAAGGTAATTAGTACATTCAGTAAGCACAAGGCCCTAAACATCTAAATATGTAGCTATCTCAACTAATGCTAAGCCCATTAGGGAAGATAGTGCCATTATTTTTAGTTTATATTCATATAACACAAAGAGAAGAAAAAAGGAAAGATGGGACAGTTCTAATATCTTTCCTCCAGGGAACATGCAGATCTCAAGGGTCAGATATGTAGGGAAATGATGGTGTCTTCTAGAAAAATTTGATTGTTAAGAAATAGTTTTGTCATTTGTTCCTTAAATCTATTTTGTACATCATCAAAAATCTGTGTGACTGTGAGGAAATAAGTTTTCCCAACTTTGGGAGACTTGTCCTCTGCCCCATGTGAAATAGGAAACAGTATCTTCTGCTTACATAGTATTCAAGTTGTTGGCTGTGATTCCAAAACAATTGCTTTTGACAAGGGCTGCATAAACATGTTGGCCTTTCCTGATGTTTGTGGACTTGTGTGTCCACCCCAGAATTGTCAGATGTCCATGTCACTATCCTCCAGCTTCTGCAGCTGCCCTGGGGACACATCGCTAAGACCTTGGAGTCTTACCTGCCGTAGTTCTAAACCATGCTGCAAGATATCACTGAAACTTCTTCAAGCTCTAAAAGTCAGTGGATTCACTTCAAAAGCATTTTTGCCTTTTGTCCTGCACTTTTCTTTTCTGTTCACTTTCCTGACAACCTTTCTAGTGCTTTCCTCAAACACTGATTTCTTAAAAAGCACTGATTTTTAATACATTCTGTGCTCGTACCCAGCAAGATTTCAAACGCTCCATCGGAGTTACACTCAATCAGCCCGTCCAGGTTTGTTAATTCCCAAGCTCTTTCCAGAAGTCCATTTTCCTGGTTTCTTACTGCTGATGTACTTGGAGTTTAAGGAGCAGCTGAAAATGGCTACTTTTACTTCATCACCTTATGCCTTTTTGTTTGTGACATTAAGAGAAATAAGAGCCACCTGCATGGTCCACATAGAGGAAAAGCATCTGCACATAGGAAGATACTGAACAGGGAAAACAGGAGCCCAACACTCCCAATAGTGTAGAACAGAGTAAATACAGGAAAATATAGATTGGGTATGAATGACCATGTATCCCTGTGTTGGATAAGCACTTACCATCACTATGAGGTAGAGATGTAGTCATCATTTCTATGTCCCCTCTCGAAGAATCTACTGTCTGTGTGCCCTGAGCACTGGCCGTAATAAACAAGTGAAATCCTAGGAAGTGAGCCCTCCTCAGTAGTAAGGAGAACATGATTATATTACTATGCAATCAAAGCCTCTATGTAATATGTGTAAGTGTTCTGTGATGCTAACACTACATGTTAGTCACTGTTTCAGAGCTGTGAAGGGAGAAAAAGAGGAAAGATGGGACAGGATGGAGAGGCCCTGTCATTATTTTACTTCACATGACCACTCCTAAGTAATTACTTTCTGGTAGCTGGAACTAAATACCCTACATGCACAACTAAAAGCAGAGGGGCTTGTTTCATTCACAGTTTGAGTAGATTTAGTCTATGGTTGGGGCTCCAAGGCAGAAACGTATGGTGGGAAATTCAAGCTGGAAAAGCTGCTCACTTCAGAGCAGCGAGGAAACAGAGAAGGAAGAAGCAGGGATAACACGCCTTCCGGGTCACTTCCGTGACCACCACAACCCGTCCTCACCTCTTAACAGCACACCAGCTACAGACTGGTCAGTGGATCAGTCTACTCATGAGCATAGTGCCCCCAGGATCCGTGAATCCCCAAGAGTTCCACCTCCAAACGTGAGACTTTGGGGGCACATTTTAAATCCAATCCAGAGCAGCTTGAAGTGGATGAAACAGGCTGTGCTTCAGGTGGAATCCTGCTCCTACCACGGAAGCAGAGCTAGGAAACCTGTCAGTTTTTCTGCTCAGTTTCCTTCCACTGCAGATAAGGAGGACAGACTGCAAACTGATTCCCATAAGAGCTTTTAAAAAGCACTGAAAATCCTCATAGTAAAATGGTAAAACCCATTTGTGCCAGTATGGATTATATTTAATTAAAACAAGCGAAAGATGCCAAAATATTTACTCCCATTTCAGTTCTGGTTCTTCTGGTTCCTCAGGTTTGACAACCAAGGGACACTAATCAGATGGTTGTGTCTGTAGAGATTCTCTCTCTCTCTCTCTCTCTCACACACACACACACACACACACACACACACACAGTGATGACCAGAGGTATTGTCTCTTACTTTATTTTTTATTCTTGTTCCATTTAGTATGGCAAGAAGAAAATCAAATACATTGACTATGACAAGCAGCACCTGTACTTCTACCTAGGTGAGTCTCCCAGGTCACTTTCCCTATCGTTTAATTTCCTAATGCATGCACTTGTCAAGCCAGGAGGCACGGTTAGACTCCTCCTGCAGAGAACAGCTCATCTTCACTGTTGCTGACAAAGCCAGCATGTCTTTGCTCAGACTCTCCTGTGTGAAATTCCGAATGGGAGAAGTGGAAAAGCAGACAGACATTTTTAACAGGCATCTCCTCCCTCCAGGCTTCAGATGGAGAAGAAAGGAAGGAAGGAAGGAAGGAAGGAAGGAAGGAAGGAAGGAAGGAAGGAAGGAAGGAAGGAGGGAGGGAGGGAGGGAGGCAGGGAGGGAGGGAGGGAGGAAGGAGGTAGCCATGCCGGTGGGGAGGCAAAATGCCAGTCGAGAAGACCTATATCTGAGACTCACATCTTGAAAATGCTAAACAGGATCGAAAGAAAAGAAGACTGCAATTGTGCAGAGAGGAAAAAGAGGTGGGAAATAACACTGAAGCATTTATAGCATGCTGCAGTAGCAACCAGAGCTGAAAGTCACTCTTCAAGCTTCTATGTGGAGGAAAGCTTGCTGTTCCCACAACCTGCACGCAGATCTACAGTACATGAGACCTGGATGTAAATATGTACTGCTATATGTGCATATATCGGGCCATATTAGAAGCAAAGAAACTTCACTGAGCAACTCTGACACCAATGAAAGAATATCATAATTAATTTGGCCCTCCTGCACCAAAATCAAATTTATAATAGCTCACAAAGAAATGTTCAAGGCACTCTTAAATCTAAAGCCCATCTAAAGCACACTTTCCCATTTGGGAAATGAGCCAAAATCAGAGAAGGAACCAAACAGTGTGTGTAGACCAGTGATTCTCAGCTGGTAACAGTTTTCTCCACCGAAGACGTTTGACAATGTCTAGCGATGCATTGGCAAAGGGTGGTCCTCACGTCCTTTGGTTAGAATGGGGAGATGCTGCTGTGTGCTGTATGATGTGCAGGAGAGCCCATGACAAGAAACTGTCTGCCTCAAGTCCCAGCAGGGCTGAGGCTGGGAACCCCTGCAGGTGATGTGAATTGCCCACGCGTGGGCCATTGGCAACCACCTGTGTCACACTGAGGAGCATGGCCACTGTGTGGTTTGAGATGCACCACCGCTCACTCTGCCTCTTCCACAGCTGGATTCATTTTTCCCATCCTACTCACTCATCTTCTGATCCTTCTCTTGCAAAACCCAACAGAGGAGTGGGAACATGCTTTGTTTTGAAAGGAAGCAAAGTGTACCCTACCTGGATATGCAGTTGCACAACAAAACATTTATTGTTCTGAACTTTTGTGAAAAATGTGTCTTTGCCTCCTCTCTCTGTTGTGACACAGTCTGCCCATAGTGTGTGAGCAATGAGCAGGGGCGTGGATTGCCTGCAGAATGGCCACCTCATAGGGCCACTGCTCCAAGAGCTGTTTCACCATATCCTTTCACTGTGAGTGCCAGTGTAACACCTTGGGGACAAATAAGGTATAATTCACATAGTCCCAGAGAAACAGAGCTGGCAAACTGTTAAAGGCATAAAGCTAGATTTTATTCAGACTTCTGCAGCAGGCGAGAGATACTTCAGTATGAACTGAGTTTAGCTGTCTGAAACAAAAGTGGGAGACAGGCTTTGACATGCTTGGGCCTGCTAAAGAATAAAACTGAAAGACACAAAAATATGGGGTTGGGGTGGGGCATTGGCCAGTGTGATTAGTCTGGGCCAGTATCTGCTGATTATCCCATATGGATGGCAGGCTCAGATGGGGCTTATCCTTCTTGAGGATAGCATTTCAAAGGAAGGACTCCTAGGATCCTGGCTGGTGGAAGATAAATCTCAAAGGGAGACAGAAAGACTTTACAACTGTGTATTTTTTAAACGAATGAGCTAAGTGAAGGGGCATCAGCCACCTATACTCGTTAAGGCTGGAACAAATGATAAATTCTTTGAGAAGCATAGACCATGAAAGGTAACTTGAAAGTGATTCGTGTCATCCCAGAGACATGACCTTGAACATGGAATCTGTGCTAGCGTTGCTTCAAGTTTCTAAATGATGTGTTGGGAGTCTGCAGTCTTCATAGGCCAAGGTCAAGGCCCAGTCAAGAAGAGAGCTCAGAAGACCCCAGCTAGAGCTAAGTTAAAGTGATGGTCTCAGTCCAAAGCCAAAGGACCTTTGTGTTCTCTTTGTGTGCCTGATGACATTAAAAATGACACAGATCTTCAGTTGGTTTCCCTAGCTGTTGTGAAGGAACTTGAACCTGGAGCTGCTGATCAAGTGCCTCGTTCAGCCTCTTGGATGTGGAAAACCTGGTGCAATCAGGGTGTCATCAGTGATCTTCACTCCCTTCTTTGCTCGTGATGTGGGGCGGGTGTGTGAAAGAGACAGACAGTTGCCGACTGGCATTAGGCTCCCTTCTGCTCATTTCTTTACCTGCTGTTGTTATTCTTTTTCAGTTGGGCTTCCCTTGCTCATGCCTGTGTATTTCAATGGGAAGTCCCTGCAAATAATGTACCTTCATAAGGTCTGGGTGGTGAGTATTGACTCATGGTAGAAACTAGACAGGGTGGAGGAGGGGGTGTAAACACATTGGTGCTCACCAGAGGTGGCTTCCTGGACTAACAGGACCTAAGACTGAGACCACACATGAAGGGACTCCAGCCCAGTGAAGAGGAAATGAAATGCTCAGGGCATCTAACTTTCACGTGCTTTATCTTGCAGGACATTGCACTCGTCAGTAGCTTTTACATTCGACATTTCATCACTTTTGGACCTTTCTATGGAATTTTTGGAACCATGTTGCTCATATACATGGTCAAGTAAGAAAATGATTTTACTTTCATTACCCAGATGGTCCTCTTAGCTTCCTTATCAGGACTGTGTGTGATGAGCCAAGGGTTATGACACCATGGCCAGTGCCTGGAGCTGAGGTAGTAAAGAAATGCAAATAATAATAATAATAATAATAATAATAATAATAGCTGAAGCAGTTGAACGACAAGCTAATTGCAAAAAGAATTTACCCAACCTCATTTTTAAACTTGCTTTATTCCCAGAAGCAGCCTTTGAATTTGTCTCTATGTTTTTATTTAGTTAGACACTGTAACCCCCACCAATAGTCATGATAGAACAGTTTTGAAAGGTTACATTACAACTAGAGATTGTTTTGGTCCCCAGATCAAAATGACTTTAAGCCATCATTTTGCCTAAATGGCCCTCTTCACCTTTCCAAAATTTTATTCCTTGTTTTGTTGATCAGTGTTCTAAACACCCAGTAATTATAAGGATAATGACAATTACTCTACATCAGACTCTGTTAAAGCCTTTACAGGTATTATCTCACTTGATATAATCCAGTCTAACAGTCCAACAATAGAGATAGTATCAACTTCAGGTTGCTGCTAAGGGAATTGCAGCTTAGAGACATGTAATCACCCAGCTAGCATGATAGAACAATAAGAATTAAGGCAGGTGCTAAGATAGAACTTGAACCCAGCTCTACCTGATGGCACGACATAGACCGTCAACCACTTTGCATGTGTCCTTGGAGAACCTGATGGGGTTTGTTTCCCTTGCATTAGAGCTACAGAAATCTTCACAGGTTCTGCTGCCATGAGTTAGGAAACAAGACAAAGCCAGTGGCTGTGTGTCAACTCTAGACCAAAAGACATTCGGAGAAGTACAGGAAAGACCTCCTAGTCACTGAAATCTTGGAACTTCTTTCGTTACCTTCAATTTTTGGCTGGTTCTGCCCGAGGTTATATGCAAGCCCAGCAAACGCAACTGTAACTCCTTCCAGAATAACTGTTCCTGGCTTTTGTTCCCCAAAAGGTTTCTTGAAAGTCCATGGATTGCATATGTTACCCAGATGAGCCACATACCAATGAAGATAAGCAGAGAGGAGAACCGAGATTGGCTGAGCACCCAGGTAAGGGTAGAAATCCTCAGGGGGAGCCCTTCACACCAGGCTGACTTAGCAACTGGTCACCTCACACAAGAATAGCTCAGCTTTGTAGAACACTCTCCAGGCCACATAAATACTGTTCGATATGAACACTTTGTCTGTGTAAACTGTGCACATTCTCACTTTACAAAATGAAAAATTTGAGGTGTGGAAAGTCCAGTAACTTATACAAGGTCACACAACTAACCAGTGACATAAGCAGGCTTATACCCAGGTGGTTTGGTTATAGAGACTATCTTCTAAACTAAGAGCCAGTTATCTACAATCCAGGAGCCAAGTCTGGCCCACTGCTTGTTTGTGTAAGTAAACTTTTATTGGGACACAGCCAATTACATTCATTTACAGCCATTACATTCATATTATCTGTGTGCTTATGTACTACAGTAGGAAAACAGAACACTTCTAAGTTAAAATATTAAAATATTCACTACCTGGCACATCACAGAAAAGAGTTGATCCCTCTTCTGATCTCTCATGCTACAGAGCCTTTTGAGGGAATATGAGATCTTAAATTTTAGAATGAATTTTTTGCCTGTAAGGATCTCCTTTCATTACATAGGCAGTGCATTGCAGTGAGGGACCACGCCCACCAACCACGCCATGATTGCTTAACAAAGCTATGATCTATGCACACACCCCTCCTCCTGAGGCTCAGTTTCATCCTGCTCCTTCTCCAAGCTGGTACCAAAGCCCAAAGACTCCCTGTAGGACACAGAGGGATGCTTTGCTCACATATTCACCACAAACCGCTTCTTTTATCATTTAGTTTTCATTTATCATTAACTTAATCTTTGTTAGGATGGTTTCTTTTCAAATATTTGTTGACTTTTTCTATTTCTTTTTCTATGATTTGCTTGTTAGTGCCCTGACTGTTCTGTGTATTTACACTTTTTTTTAGTTTCATTAATTCTTTGCACAGTAAAGATTGAACACATTGTCCACAAATGTATGTTATAAACACTTTCCTAGTTAGTTCTTTGCCCCGTAATTTTATTATTTGCCTTGTATTTTGTTAAGGGATTTATTAATATTTTACCTTGTCTTGTTTGCAAAATTCCTGAAATGTCTATGATAGTGAATCATTTAGTGTTCTTCTGCCATTTACCTTACCTTGTAATGATGCTAGCATGAAGTTATATTAAGAAATTTAATTAAAATTAATATAATGCCACATTGTGTTTGCAGCTAGTCTAGAAAGTTAGAAAAATCCCTCCATCTACCTGCCAGAGTCCTAGTCATTCAAATAACTTCCATGTCATTTATAATGACTAAAAGCAATAAAAAGTCTTTAGACTTTTAAAAGTTATAGAAAACTCAGAAAGCTTTTGTTTATATAAATTATATAGGTTTGCAAGCTATATATGAAGTTTAAAATGATAAATTTTTAAATATTGATAGATTAATTATTATTATTTTTAAATAATAAGAACAAAACTAATACATATTAACTTCAGAGAGACAAAACCATCTCATGTTTAGTCTCTTGAAAATTGTGCCATTTAAGCATGAAAACATAAGACAAAAGAAGGAAACTATTGTGTTAGAAATCTAATGAATCATTTTGACCCTCTAGATCTCATTAAATATCTTGGGCTATATCAAAATTTTCTGAACTACACTTTAAGTAACACTAACAGAACAACAATGGATTGACATTCAAAATGGCAGCCATTCCCAGCAAAAATTAAATCATAAAAAGATAATGAATGAAATGTCATTTGTATGGATTCTTAGTCTTTGAGTCTGGTGAAACCTATGTACCTCCTCTCAGGATAATGTTTTCTAAATGCATAAAATGTAAGAACTGAGATTACTAAGGACACTATTTGTACTGGAATGTGCTTCTCTGCACAGAACCCTTGGTTAGGACCCTTGATTACCTTATTCCTCATTCTGAAGTTATTCAGACCACTTTGGAAATGGTATTCAACCCCTACAACCTGCACCATGGCTCTCTGATCTCATCATCTTCCACCAATGTCTTTATCCAGGACACCACCGTCGTTTGTATTGAAGAGACAAAAATGAATTCCTCCCTCAAATTCTGCACCCTCTATTGTAGCTATTGTTTGTACATACCTCTTAGCAAAATTTTGTATATACCTCTTGCCACATATTTAAGTGTTAAACTTACTGAGACCTGAGACTGTTTACAATATTCCTGGTAGCATCTCAATAAACATGCTGATGGCTACTCAATAAACATGCTGATAATTGACTCAACGAGAAGATAAATAAGCATTTCCTTTGTCTGACACTGGAATTCACTGATATCTGATGCAAGCTTTTTCTTTGCAGGTCTTGGCCACCTGTAATATTGAGCAGTCTTTTTTCAATGACTGGTTCTCTGGGCACCTGAACTTCCAAATCGAGCACCAGTGAGTCATACAAATGGGCTGTAATGGGGAGGGGCTCTCATGGTTGACAGCTCCAAATACAGTCCAAAGTAGAGTACTTTGGCTCGGAATCTCAGAGGGAAAAAGCAATGAGGGATCTTTAACAGCTACTACTTTTCTATTAGCACCAATTACAAAGGAGGGAACGGGGAAATATAACAATTCTCAGAAAATGAAGTGAAATCCTAGAAAAAGTACCAGTAACTTAGTTTCAGATACAAGAAACCTTACAATTTGTTAACTTTTTTTCCCTGTGCACTTAGTTTGTTGGTAAAACCCAAGAAAAGTCACTTTATTGGGTAACCAAGATGTGTTAAAATTTAATTACAATTTAAGCTAAATCTATACCATTGTATATCCAATGTTACAAAATAATCCACAATGATATCTGCTCTCTTATATAATTTTCCAGTGGTATCTGGCAGTACATTAATCACTGAGTCAGTTAAGTAGACAAGCCATAAAAGAGAGAAAGCAGTATTACTCAAAGAACCACTCAGGGGAAGCACTTTCCACATTTTCTTCATTTAAGCCATACTTGGTAGACTCACAGAAAGAAAATGGTCTCATACTTATTCATAGGATTTTGTCACCTATTCTCTTAAATTACTCTTTAAACTCTCAGCAAAATGAAAAAGAATTATCATTCAATTTTTGTCAAAGAATTGTTTTTCATCCTGGGAAGTCAACTGGCTGATTAGCGGAAAACTTAAGATAAGACTGATATCTTTTCACTTCTTATTGCTCACTTAGAACTTTACCCCACATACACCAGGCCTAGAGCGCACACTCACCTATTCATGAGGCAGGAGCTAGACTAATTAAAAAAAAGAGAAACTGTAGAAACAGACAGAGTCAGAGGGAAGCAGAAAGTTATCTCTAGCTCTGCTGGGCAATGCAAAATGATGGACAATCCATACTTTCATTTGAAATTGGCAAAAACACAACAAAACAAAAATATACAAATGAGATAATATTTGTCCTATTAGCATTTCTTAAGTTTTCTCCTCCCATGTGAATTCCAGAGGTGACACGATGTGACATGAGAGTGTTCTGAGGAGAGTTTGAGCTTCCCAGAAGGACTGGGCAGGTGAAGGTTGGATAAGCATTGTTAATACCCTAGTAGTTGGTAATTCAGGGAAGAAATCCCCTTTGGCTTTCCTCTAGGTCTAACCCCTCATCCCCCCTCTTTTTCCTTAGTCTTTTCCCCACAATGCCGCGCCATAATTACCACAAAGTGGCTCCGCTGGTCAGGTCCCTGTGTGCCAAGCACGGGCTGCAGTACGTGAATAAGCCCCTGCTGACAGGGTTTGGAGATATCGTCAGGTAAGGGCCCAGCTTCTCCTGGCTCACACCTCCTGCATCCTCTCACATCGAGGCCCTGGACTGCCACTGGTCAGCCAATCATTCTTCAAACACCTATTTAATAAAGGAGCACCCACAAGCCCAGCATACAGGGCAAACAGCACTCACCTCCTGCATTCCAGGCGCTCCAAGTGAAAATGCCCACTATCCTGTGTATGTCAAGCTTTTTGAGGCCAAAGCTATGTTCCTTTTGGCTTTGTACACCCTGTCCCATATAGTTTCCCCCTTGCTTGAGAATGAACATGGCAAAAGAGGTTCTCAAACTTTCTGGCACATTGCTATAGACACAGACGCTCTCAGGCTCCAGAGGCACCTCTGTGCACCAAGCTGGTGCCTGGCTGTGGAGGTGAGGGCAGCAGACACTGAAAACCCACACTCACCCTCAGCCACTCACATCCAGTCCCCCAGAGGACACTGTGCTCAACAGATGAACAGCCAGTGGCCTGGGTATACTAACTTTCTTTTAAAATTGAGTTACAAGGTGCCTTAAAGAAGACCATCCAGGCTAAGCCTCCTCTCACCTGCTTGCTGTCTAGTGCCCCAGCTTCAGGCCCTCTCCATGCCCTCTTCCCGCTCTGTGCTCAGGCAGCTGGCTGGCTTTTGGTTGCTGCAAATCTCCCCACCTTGGCACTTCTTCTGAGGAGAGCATTCTTTCACATTGCCAGCTGCCCTTCTTTCCCTGTGTCAATGCCCAGTCATTCCACAAGGCTCGCCTCTAACTCCTGCCTTTCGCTGGTGTCCAAGACTAAATCCATCCCTAAATCCTGCTGTGTGCTTGGTTCGAGCCTACTGGGGGTGGAGGGAGTGACTTACCTAATACATGGCTACCAAGCCAGTTCAGGAATTCCACATGGACAGAACCACATCTGTCCTCTTTGCTGCTGAGTCTACAAAACTATCTTCCTAATTAGAAAGGAAAATAAGGACAAGATATAAGATGGGCTGGCATAGAGGTACGCAGTACACAGGCTTAGAACAGACCAAAACAAGGGCAAAACTAAAATATTATCCATAAAGAAAAAGTGAACCCACTTCCTAAAAACAATTCAGTGTGTTTATATTCTCCACTAGCCAGCAGATAAGGGTATGTATTATGTATGTCCAGAGATAGCATGCCCTGAGCCAGGCAGGGGAGCAATGGGCCATGGAGAAGCAACTTCTTCAGACAGGCTCATCTCTTGATTCTTGTTCTTACTTCTCCCCCAGGTCCTTAAAGAAATCTGCAGCCCTTTGGATTGACTCTTACTATGAGTGAGGTGGCACCATGCATGCCATTGTCTCTGAAGGGGGTTGGTGGATGTGCAAGAGCTCTTCGTCATTTAGCTGGGAATTAAGTAGCACCCCTGGCATACCTGTTTGTCCCGGGATTGAGGACCTGAGGATGCATGACAAGGCCTTCCCTGAAGGTCTTTAAAAACAAGAAGCAGTGGAAGCACAAGAGGATTTTGGCCAGGTTGGCAAAAGGGAAATGGGACCTCTTTGCTTTAATCGTTCCACTCTGATCTTGAACTTAGTCTACCAATGGATCTTAAATCACCTAATCCAAAGAGCATGAGTGCAGGAAGCAGGGAAACCTTCCCAGGAAGAAGGGTATAATCAGAAGTAAACATGGAGAATCATCTGATGGAGGATTCTGGAAAACAGTGCAATTGCTCTTAGAAGAGAATAATTTATCTAAGTGATTCCTGTTGAAACACAAATTTTCTGTTTCTCCTCAAATATTAAAGTTTTTTTTCTTTAAAAGTTGATTGACATTAAAATATATTCACACATTTCAATATTGACTTTAGATTTTCATTACTGTGTCTACTTCTATATGAATAGCATACAAACATTTTTTTCCACATGGAGAAATTAAAATGTCTATCAAACCTCTTAAAAGAATGTCCTCCACCCAGTCCCAACAGCAACTGATCAAGCAGTTTTATATGTAAGTGTCTTACATTTGGCTAAAGGCTATCCCCTAACCACTGCAGCAAAAACCCCCAAATCCTAGTGTCACCTCTGGGAAGCCAAGAGCTTCTTTTGCACAATGGAGATGGCAAGCCAGTACAGCATTTTCTAGCAGGCATCCATTAGGCATGTTTAAGAGAGCTCAGACTCTCACCAAGGAGTTTCAATAGAGGACAAAGGATGGGGGCGGGGCTCTCAGAACCATGCTGATCTCTACACTTTTCATTTGGCACAGAGTGCATGCTATTGCTGACCTCAACTACTGGGGAGAGGTACAAAACACAAGCTTCCTTCCCCAGCCCCAAGCGAATCAGCATTACTGATTTATCTGTTGCCTGTGGTTCTAGCAGTAAACCTTCATGCCTTCCAATCTCAGCAAAATACCCTTTTCATTTGTTTGTTTTTCTTAATCAAATCCCAAGTGAAGGGCAGCACATTAAACCACTCACCACAGCTGGGGAATGAAGCGTGCATGCTAAAGTTAAGGAAACACAAACAGATTGTCTAGTGGCTGGAGAACTGAAAATGGGAACAGTGACAAGTAGGAAAGTTGGACAGCTGATAAAAAGGGTGAAAATCTTGTGGATTTAAAATTCTTCCTAGTGGTTGTGTCAAGGCAGGAGCACTTATTTCCCCTGCTAGCAGACCTAAAGACAATTCCTTCTGCCCAAATCTAGGGTGGTAGGTGGGGGTGGGTTGAGTGGTGGACTTCCTCGGACACCAGGTCCAGCTCAAACACTGTTTGTTCAGGTGGGCCCTGGAAATAGCAACCAGATTTCTCCCTGGCCAAATCTAATCGCCTTAAAAGAATTCCTCATTAAGTGTTGAAACTAGCCTGTTTTGTAGTTCCCCAAACAAAAGTGATTACTGTGTAATTTTGATGAAATCTGGGAAATGTTGATAGTATTGAGAAATTACTCAATTAAAAAAAAAGGTGCTAGGCCATCTGATCTTGAAGTTTTCCTTGTGTAAATGTTTCTATTTATTTGCTTCTATGTTCATATTCTTCACTGGTCTGTTTAGATTCTCTACTTCTTCAGAATTTGGTAGATTGCATATTACTAGGAATTTATCCATATCTTACAGGTTATTCAACGCATTGATGTGTAATTGTTTGTAATGGCTTTTTATCATCCTTTGCATTTCTGTGGTTTACAAAAAATGTAAACTAGGCCTGGGATACAGCTGAGCAGCCTGTGCCTGCCTGGCAAGCATAAGGTCATGAGTTCGCGTCCCAGTACCCCCCTCCAAAAGGCAAACTAAACGGTGTGCTAAGGATTTATGAACATGTGGTAATAAGCACAAATTGGGGTCACACGGTGGGGGTTGCCAGTGAAATGTGCAGAAACAGAATGCCGGGGAGTAGCAGGGTGAGTAAGGTGGGTGTTAGGAGCCAAGACCTCATGGCAAAAGGAAGCATGAAGACTTAAAAGAAGTCAGGAGCTGAAGCAAAAGAAGAAGGAAATCAAGCAGTATACGGTAGGGCATAGTGGGTGACTCAGGGTTTGATCCTCACTCCAAGAGCCTGGGTACCCACTGAAGAATTTCAAGAGGAGCTACAATATGATCTTCAGGAATCATTTAATTCAAAGACTCAGGAGCCTGGACGATGAAGCCATCCCTATTTATACCCGAAGATCAGATCCTTACAGTAGGGAAAGTGGAAATACAATGACCTTTAGAACCAGTCACCTAAACTCTAATTTACCACTTTGTGGTCTGGGAAGTTCTGAAAGCAACATATTTTGGTTATTTACTTTTGTGGAGCATATTGAACAAGCAGTAAAAATAAAGTCAATACCTCACTAAGTGAAAATTCCAAGCACTACAGGATGAGAGAGAAAAAATAGTCAAGATTGGTAATTCAGGAAAACAGTAAACTTTACTGGTTATAAAGGTACTAAGCAAATTAAAATTTTACTCCATATTTATACCACCTCTTAAAGATGTCTTTTTGCAAGATTTTTCTGATTACAAAAATATGTTAAAGAAATATCTTCCAACCAGTTAGAAATAAATCATATCAAATTTACTGGAATCACTTCCAGTATTATTTCTTTTAGTATAATGTCTTTAAGGGTGAGTCAAGTTGTTGCTTGTTGGGGGATTTCATGCTTTCCTGAGGCTGACTGTGATTCCGTCTTGCATACATACCACATTCCTTAACCACTTATCTCCTGATGAACACTGAGGCTGCTTCTACATCTTACCTACTGTGAACACTGCTGTGATAAGGATATGAGGCTCCTATTTCTTTGAGGCCCTAATTTCAATGGGATGAATATTCAGAAATGGATTTTTTTGTATGTAATTCCTTGCAGTACTTAGGAGCACATACAAAGCAACAAGATTGATCCACATTCTCAATGGACATGGTTTCATGTGATCTTTATAATAGGTCCATGGAGCTAGTGCTATCTTAGTGTACAGATGAGAAAGCAGAAGCTCACAGACACTGAGAAACATGTTTGACTTCACAAGTGGGAACTGTGGAGTAGACTCTCAGACCTAGGGATATCTGACTCCATAGTCACCACTCATAAATTCCCATACCAGGAAATTCAAAGCAAAAGGGAATTAAGTGACATAAAAAGACATGGGCAGATGGCATTTGGGAAATACCTCTAAGAGCTTCAGGGAGAGAGGACAATGACAGTTAACCCTCCACACAGTGTGTTCCACCTCAATAGGGGACCAGAGAGGGGAACCCAGGAGGAGCACAAGACAGGCACAAAAGCCACCTAGAAAGAGTCCTCCCTTGAGAAACTTGCACTCATCAATCTTCAGAGATTTCTCAGCTCAGGACAATCCCAATGGAGAGTCTTAAACTGAGATTTAACCTTTCCAAAAGGACAGATGCTACATTAAACATGGTGGAAAAGATGAAGAAATTGATTTAAGAATCTGCAATCACATGGTATGAACACCACCCAGGAAAATCTCATATTCTGGGGCTGGGGATTTAGCTCAGCGGCATAAGCGCCTGCCTTGCAAGCAGGCAGTCGTGAGTTTGATCTCTGGTACCGATAAAAACGAAAAAGACAAAAAAAAAAAAAAAAGAAAGAAAGAAAAAGAAAATCTCATATTCCCTGTGATTATATTTGTATCCTTTTCTTAGACATCCTATTTCCTCTAAAGTTTCATCTTTCCTTGAAAAATTAATTAATGATAATTTTCCAGCCTTTTCAGTTGGGTATTAAGTAAGGGTGACTGAATTAGAAGTCAGAAACTTAGATTCTAATTTCACCTCATTAACTTTGTACCCTAAAATTAACCTGGCCAGGTTACTTCCAAATTATATACCATAATCTTCACATCTTAAAAATGGGTGTAGTGCATAATATTATTTTTCTATGCATCATAGTGTGATTGTAACAATCAAATGAAGTGAAGCAAGTGGAATGGTTTCATTAGTGGGAAACACCCACTTCAATTCTGATTATTAATTACTGTCCTTACTACTACTATTATTATAAGGGTTTGTTCCATCTTAGACCCACCAAAAACAGGAAAAGAATAGAGAAGAGACACACAAACTACAGGTTGGAAACACACTCCATCATTTTAATGAGGACTTTAGCAACCACTTTAACAATGACAAGGGCACTTTTCCCCAGATGAGACGCTTATGAGTCACAATTGAGAAAATGATTTCTTCTGTTGCAACAAAGAACACCCACGAGTCACTTCAACTGGTCTAAATCCCCAAGGACCAGTGACTAGAACTTAGCCTAAATAAGGAGTAGGAAACCAAAGTTGTGCCTACCAAACTTGCCCGAGGGCCTGACTGGACCACGCCTAGCATTTCAATCCAGGGAGCTGAGGGCATGAGGTGAATTCCAGCATGCTTGTGTTGGCTCTGTGAAAGATTTGGACCATCACTTGCAGTGGTTAGGACCCCACCCAGCATCCTAGACCACCGGAAGAGACAAGGGAGGTCCCTTGGGCCTGACTGGACCATGCTCAGTGACCTCCATCCAGTCTCAGGTGCTGAAGGCACATGAGGTGATTTCCAACATGCCCAGGGGAAGCTTTGGAACATCACTCAAAACCCAGAAATATAGGAAAATGACAAAACAAAAGAACAAAAAGTAATATTAAACATCCAGCCCATCCCAAGAAAGCCTAGGAGCCATGTACACAGGAAATATAAGCCATACACCTGAAATGATATCAACTGATATAAAAAAACAACTCTGGAAAGCTATAAAAGAACTCAAGTCAAAAATAATCTCCCAAGTAAAAGAAGAAATAATAAATGTAATGAGAGATATGCTGAACACATCTAAAAAAGACATAGTTAAAAAATTAGAGGAACAATGCAAAAAGATGGAATCCCTGAATGAACAATATAAGAAACAAACAGAATGCAAGAAGCAGATTCAAAGAGACATACAGGAAGTCAAAAATTCTGTTGAAAGTTGGCAAAACCACCTCAACAAAAGTGAAGATAGAATTTCAGACCTCGAAGACAAGATTGCAGCTAGTGAACAGGAAAGGAAAGATCTTTTAAAAATAACAAGGAATCAGGAAATAACAGTTCAACAGCTGCAAGATGATGCAAAGAAAAATAACATAAGATTGATAGAGATAAATGAAAAAGAAGGGGGCAACACAAATGATATCAAGAGGCTATTTACAGAAGTAATACCTGAAAATTTACCAAACATAAGAATGGAGACTGACATATGGATCAGTGAAGTATATAGAATTCCAAATAGCCATAACCAAAATAAAACTACACCCAGACATATAATAATCCAAGAAATCCAACATAAGAACAGAATATTAAAAACTGTTGGAGACAAAGATGGTGTACTGGTAA